CCTCTCTTTACCTTTTATTATTTCAGTCTCTTCCAACCCTATATCATTAGGGTGAATCAAAGTGAAAACCCACTTACTGATTCATCATAATAATAATATGCAAAAAGTAATATAACAAAATTAAATATCTATTTTTTTTTGATTGCTTGATAATATAATTATTAATATATATCTAATTATCCAAATTATAAGATTAATACAAGAATAGAAAGAATTTCATAATAAGCTTATTTGAAATTTAATTAATTTGTAAATAATACTGATAAAATTTAACTAAAGAGAAGTAGTTTGAAAAAGATATGAAATAATCAAAAATAACAAAAAATTTACATTCTCAAATTAATGATTAGTTTCTGAGAATCATTATGTAGAGTGGAAAGAAAAATGTGAAACATATAGATAATGCATATGGTTGGTAAATAAAAAATAAATAAATATAAATTGTAAAATATTATATAGAAATTAATTATGGTGTGCAGCATACAATAATATTAGAGATTTTTTTTACAATTTTATACTAATAAATAATTTTTTTTCTTTTATATTACAAAATTTTTATAGTGTAGTAACAGTTTTTATTTTTTCTTGTTTTTATTTTTTCTTTAATTAAAATAATAATTTTTCTTTAATAACAATTTTTTAATTAAAATAATACTTTTTTGATTAAATTAATTAATCTTTTAATTTATATTTATAATAAGTAATTAATTCATTTATCAATAAATTACAAATTTAAATAATATTATTTATTAATTTAAAAATTATTATTTAAATTAATTAATAAGAGTCTTTTCCAAGTCACATATATATTAGACACTATGGATAGAAAATTTTGCCATGTGATCCAGGTTCTTAAGAATCATTTTGACTAATTAAAATGAAATTTTTAATATAAAAATTCTGTTCTAGACCTGATTTACTTTATATCATTTCAGCATTCAAATTTGGCCACTAAAGTAGGATGGTTTAAGAGATAAAGAAGATGATACCATCAAATTTTTACAAAAATTCAATACATGTACATGTATAAATTTTTGTAATCGATCATGCAAGCTGATTTTTTAAATATATTTGAATATAACATTCAAATTTATGAAATATTTACTAAGATTTTTATTATATAATTATAAGTAATTTGTTCTCTAGATATTAAGAATATATATACAAAATTTTATATTATTGAATAGTTGATCAAAAAACTAATTGCCATTTCTTTTGCACACCACTGTATTTTATTTCATCAGCTTTTCCAATTATTGCCTGATATTAATATACTGTGTTATTAATCTGATTATGGTATTAAAATTAGTAGAAATCACAATCAAACAATTGCTTGTTGTATAGTATTATTGGCATAATCTTTGAATATTCTATAATGCGAGCAATAAATTATATATCGTGTATAATAATTAGGCAGAAAATTAAATGTGATTTTAGTATGATTGAGACAAATGCGGATGTGACTATTGCGAGAGTTTATATATTTAACGATAGGTTTGGTGTATTTTTACTCATAATTTGATATTAAAGAGAACATAAATAATAAGTAAATATCATAACTCGTCCTATAAAATCAAAATAACAGGCATATGTCTAGTTTAGTTTTTTTAGTTTCCGCCGGATTAGAAATAAAATTTTCGGGTAAAATCGAGAAAAATAAAAATAATTGTTTATTTACTTTGAAACGAACCAAATCACCGGGAAATATCACCACTCGATTCGACAAGCCTTAAATAAACCGAATGATGATATTTCTCCGGATTTGGTTCGGTAAATGCTGAGAAATCATATTTCAAAGTTAGGAAACATTTCCAAAAGAACTAAGTACTAATTTAGGTGAAAACATTCACATATTTACTGAGAATGGATTATTGGGCCAGTTTATTAAGAAATATAGTTGCTAACCCAGTATGCGATTTTATTATTCTCCAGTTTAGATATTTTTTCATTTTTACTTTGGTAAGGAAAAATAAAAAATTGTTGAAACATCTACCGTGGAAAATAAATCACTCGATTTGTTTTTCTTGACGAATCGAATGGTGTTATTTTCCCTGAATTTGATCTGACATCCTGGAAATTTTATTTTTAATTTGGTGATTTTCCGAAATTAAAGACCGGATATTACTTGATATTTTTTATAGGGTCGATATGTCATCCTTTAATGCTTGAAGTAAACTCGCTTTACGAAAATATGCCACGTCTCAATATAATTTAATATAGCAACCATATTTTAATAACTCGTTACTTCAAATTTCATCTAACAGAATTTCTGGATATAAATACGCTCGCCTGATTCCTAACATGTATACAATTAAACGATTGATTTTTTGAAAGTAATGTTACAGATGTCAAGAGCTTTTTCTAAAACTGCCAAAATAACAATATACACGTATTATATCATGCGTTAATTTGGTTTAAAAATTTTCTTTATGCTTTGATTAGAATAGCATATTAGATGACAATGCTATACAAATTTTTTTGTAACGAATCTAAATATAAAGTTATAAAATGGTCTAGATTTTAAATTTTTTTTGATAATTTCTAAAGAAATTTTATTACATATATAGAACTTTTTAAATTTTAATAATTTTAATTTTTTCAAAGTTATGAAGAAATTTAAATATATGAATAATATTTTTTAGATTTTAATAATTTTTTGATTTTTTTTTTGATAATTTATGAAGAAATTTTATAAATTTTTTTTGTAATATTTATATATGAAGAGATTTAAACTTTTTTTGTAGGAAATATATTTAAAATTTATATATATATTTGTATATCGTGGAATTTTTGAAAGTGTCGCTATTGGAAAAAGGTTTTTAAGAAAATGTAATCAAATCAAAATTTTATGAGAAATCCATCATTCAGAATAGAGATCATTTAAGAATATGTAGGGGATTGATTGTGGGTTTTCGTTCGAAAGCAAATTGAATTGTTTAAATTCATATGTTCAAAAAGGTGGGGTTGAAGAATTCTGCAAGTCCATTAATTGATATTCGATTTTCCAAATCGATTTCCAATCCTCATACGAATAATATGAAGGGGAATACATGAATTCTTGTTGAACAATCTGTTGGTGGTTAATTTTTTGGTCAGTTTGTTGGTTAATTTGTTGGTCAGCTTGTTGGTTAATTTGTTGGTCAGTTTGTTGGTTAATTTGTTGGTGGGCAATTTGTTGATCAACGCTTTGTGATCCTATTAGCTTTGTCGATTCTTGTTCATTATTTTTCGATATTCTCTTAGAATAGGTTTTCTGAAGTTTTTTTGCTATTTTTCCATAATATTTTTTTTGATTTTCAGGTTCCTTAGCCCAAAGCCTCGTCGCAAATGTACTAAGCTTTTGACCGCCACCATTCAATTTGATACCTCTACTCTTCAACAATTTATTTACGTAAGAACGGTATATAAAAAATTTGTTACACTTGGTCACCATCTCCCCGTTTTCTTTTGGTGTAAATTCTTCTACTGATTGGCCAGGAGGAAAAGGTACCTCGAAATTAGCCACATCCAAGTCATCAATATTCCAGACAGTACTCATTCTTCGAGTTTTTGGTTTGATGCTTGTGGGTTTCGCTTTCATGTATGTCTCAATTTATAATAATTCGTTCAGTGTCCGAATTTATTATACAGAATAAAAATATAGCATTCATGTGCAATAATAATATAGTATTTCATATGCAAAATGAAAAATGCTAATTAAAAAACAATGATTTGTAATTCAAAGCAAATAATTCGTTCGTTAAGGGGCCGACAGCATACATTTCATATGCAAAATGTAAATGCTGAAAAAACTTAAACATAAATTTGATTATTTCTAATCCAGTTGTAAAAGCATTGTTAAATGTAGTACGAAAATGAGCCACAATTAGAGATGGTCACGCACAATACATTTTTGTTGATCTAAGCGTTGATTACTTGTAATTGTAAATGAATTTTCGTGTTCGAAATTTTACATTTAACAATGCTTTCACAATTGGATTAGAAATAATCAAATTTATGTTTTCGTGCTCTTCAAAGTCTGAATCACAGAATATTGAGCAGCATTTACATTTTGTATATGAAATGCTACATTTTGTATGATGTCGGCCGGGAGATGGCTGATCTAGAACATCATAGTGTGCATAGTGAATCGGAAAGTCATACATGTATTTGCCCATCACTAGCCACAATATTTAGTAATGACAGTCTGTATTGACTGAAACGAATTTAATATCCTAAAGTTACAAATATATAATTTGAATTTTGCCCATGTTCCTGCAAATAAATATTCAAGTGTCATGTAATCGACAATGATAATCTTTGAAAAATTTTAATACTTGTGGTTTCTTTTTTTTCAACTATTCCTGTGGAATGTAAGGACCCGAGGTATTTTGCTCGGCGAATTACGGTATATCGTTTTTTAAATTAATTGGTAACTTCGATTAAAAATCTTTGCGCAAAAAATAACACAATTTTTCTTGCGATTGAGCACTATTTATATTCAACTGTTTTACACGCAATAAGAAAGTCCTTTTATAAAATCACAAAATTTAAACAAAGTATTAAATCCACCGCTATCGCTATTGCATAAAGTGATAGACGCAGTATTACCGTGTTATAAGCCCTAATAAAGCATTGATATGATTCTTAAAAAACAGGTTTTTTAACGCCATAGATTTTGATCATCTATATGGACATGTACATGTACATGTATATCGATATGTGAATTCAGAATGGTATTTTTTGCGGAACACTGGGTAAGTGCATTTCCTAGTTTACAATGTCATTTTTATTTTGCATTATGAGATTGTTAGATGATTTACCCGCGTAATTATTTTTGTATTTGATCAAAGAATGATTCATTTGATCTATATTTAGATTATAACGAAAAGAACTACCGCTACCTTTTATATATCGTAAAATCTCGCTTAAACTGAAATGTATGCACTCTTGTGCCAGGAGTGTTTGCGTTAAATGTCAACTAAATGACGCACATGAAACAACACCTGACGTCTGACGTACAACATACATGTATATAAACATATACGTGTATAACGAATGAATTTCAACATTTTCAGCTATATGTAATATGAAAATGGTATGCATTTATGTTTTCATAATTGACGGCATTTATCTTATATCTATAATTGCTTTAACCTTAAGATCTAACTAATTTAATAATCCTGTACAATGCAAAATATTGTAGTAATGGTAATCAAGCACTACAAGGAAATCTTGATAGAATACTTGTAATTTTTGGTTCCTATTTCAAAAATAAATAATCCAAATGTTAGAATCTAAGCGAAGCAGATTATGAAATCAAATGAAAATAACAGTCATAATTACATAAATCCGGAATTTAACAAGGATGTAAAGAACCAATACTTGGAATCCGCCCGGAAAATTGGAATTTTTTAGAAATGGGGTTTGATTTTTCTTTAAAATCATATTGTTTAGATAGTTTTGTCACTATCGCTAGTTATAAAATATTTATCGTTATTTACTTTGTTTTCTGAATAACACAATAACTAACTATGTTGTATGCGATTTGAATTCTAAAACAAATTTTAGTCTGCTTCGAGAGAAGTATTTTACAAGTTCTGAATTTTAACCACTGATAACTTTTTTTATTGAATATATTATTATTCGAATTTTTCTTCACAAGTAAGTCTCATATTTTATGGAATCATCTTCATCTAAAGGCTGAACTGAAACATAGCGATATTAATTTTATTAGTAAGATTAGAGCTCTATTTTCATTCTTTTGTTATAATTAAATATTAATGCTCCAAACCGGTCGGGTTCTTTAACTTGACCCGAGTTTTAAATCGAGTCGGGATTATTAATTGTGGCGGCTGTTACCGAAATTGACCAGAGAATAAAAACTGATCAGCCCAATGGGATGCAGATTTCAGCATCAGCCACTAAATTTAATCTAACCCATACGAGTCAGGGTCATACCTTTAATAATTTGGATTATATGCGATGATCAATGACTTAAATTCGGTAAGTTACTTTCACTAAAGGATCTTTTTAAGAATCTTTCACCAGAACATAAAACTCAGCGAGAAGTCAAATATCTCAACTGTCTGTAAGTATAAAAAGTTATATATACAGTGTGGTCCATAAGTATTCGGAATTAAAAAATTACTCGTCACACCACAACCAATGACTTAAATCACATGAAATTTATGCATTTTGAAGATTAAGACCAGCTAATTTATTATATTATTTTTAATATGATATACGCTCGCCATTGCTTTCTATAACAAGCTCACAACGACGCCTCATAGACCTAATTAAATTAATTAGAGTAGACTCAGGAATATCCACCCATTCATTTATCATATAATGACGCAGTTCATCTAAATTTTTTGGCATATGCTTTTCCACATTGTTCTTAATAATACACCAGAGATTTTCGATGGGATTCAAATCGGGACTGTTAGATGGCCAGTCCAAAACTTCGGGTATGGTTTCTTCAAGAAATGCTTTGGCAAGATGGCTCGTGTATTTCAGATTGTTATCCTGCTAGAACCGTCATTCATCTTCCATCAATTGCTCAATTTCTGGAGTATGCTCACGAAGGATATTGATATAGAATTTGACATTCATAATTTCAGAAAAACAAAATAAACTACTTTTACCATTTATACAAAATTCTCTCCATGCGAAAATCTTTCTTTGATCCTTGGATATATGTCATATTAGCTGTGCTCCCTTGTACCAGTGCTCTACCATATTCTGAAAGAGTTTAAAAGCTGTTTCATCCAAAAAGAAAGTATTATTCCAATTATCATTGAGATGTTCATAAGTTCATGCCACACATTTATATTTATAAGCATCAGTAAGCATTAGCGTTTCTAGTGGAAGTGCTTTTTTGTATCCAAGAGTAGCCAAATGTCTTCTAACCATTTGATGAGACATGTTTACATCGATTTTTGATAATTTTGTCACCAGGGTTCTCGTTGAAATAGATGAATCTCTTTGTATATATTGATCCAATGCCTTTGATGCTCATGCGGTTATCTTCTTGGGTCTACCTTTACTTCCGGCATGTTTATTTGTGTTATATTTTTTGAGTTTATTAATATTATCATATATTGTTGAAAGGGATATGTTGGTTATGGTATGGATTTCTTTGGCATCTTGAATGCCCTGATTTCACAATTGTAAAATGAATTGATGGTTGGTTTCTTGCTTGGAAGTCATAATTATACCAAAGTAAAAAAGAAAAAAAAATAAAAGAA